CTCCCATCCTGAACGGATCGCTGCTTTTTGCCCTTTACTGAAAAAAAAAAAACTAATAAAATGAAACACAGAGTTTATCTCCCCGCACGCTTTAACATTTACTGTTTTTTACTGTTTATCACAACCTTTACATACGTTTTTTTACAGTCATAACATTTTACTGCAGGTTTTAACCCTTTCAGCTGCAGGAAGTCTGCATGCTTTTTTCCTTTTATTTAATAAAATATTTATTGATTATTAATAAGATGCTTTTTGTTGCAAACTTTCACTATTTSGGTTTGATTTTAAACTTGTTTTATTTACGAGACATTCTGTCAAAAAAAAAGGTCAGAATTTAATTTTATCTCTTTCCTGCAGCTTTCTGCTGAAAATTCAAGATTCGGAGGAGCAAGGCTCTGCAGAGCTCAACTGCTGGTCCGCGTGCCACATAAGGTCAGTGTGGGGACTCGTTAGGACCGCCCTCATGTGACTGTTTTCACCCTGACCACAAATGAATGGTTTAACTTCCTCTTTTTTGGAAATATTTTAAATACACAAGTTTGTATTTCTAGCCTTTTGAGGACCACTCATTGACTTCCATTCATTTCTGTAGCCTAGCCCTGAMCTTTACCCTAAACCCAATTCTTACCTTAGTCCTAAAACCCTGAAACCAAAACTGGAGTTCCACCCTATTATGACCAGTCTTTGGTCATTAAAATGACTGCTGGTCCTGACAAGGTTAGTACAAAAAAAGGACTAAAAATGCAGCGGTGCTCACAGTTCAGGTAGCTTTGTATTTACTGGTTTGCCTTTTTTACTAACTCTGCAAACCGTTAGCAGATTAATTTGCTTCCACTACATTAATTTCTACTCATTTTAAACCATCTAAAAACACGTGTTAAACTTTTATTTTAATGCAGTTCATCCCTAGTTAAATAAAAACTGTCCCGTCTTACGAGCAGGACTGGACGTGTCAGGCACCGCGTGTTAGCATGTAGCATCTTTAGCAGCTAATCTTCAAACTTAAAGTGTCAAGAAGAAATAAAATAAAATTTAAATAACAAATACACAAATTGATTTGCTGTTTGTTGTTTGACTAATTTAAAACAGTATTTGTAAAATTGACTAAACCAGAAACATCGATGTA